CTGTATAGTGGGTAGTAGTGGGAGTTGGTTTTGAGTATGGAGTTGTGTTGAGATAGTAATAAGATCTTTAATTTCAAGGTTGTCGATGGATAGTTTAAAGTTTGATTTTTCTATTAGCTTTCCAATACAAGTAGGCGCTTCTTTCAATAATTACTTTTTGTTTTGAGATTCCTATTTGAAAGAATATAGGGATATCAGATTTATTAACTTTACTTTCTTATAGTTTTCTAACTATAGGTAAATATTTTTTCAATATTCGTCGCTCTTTTTTTTTTTTTGAGGATTATAGAAGTATCGGATTTTCTGTATTCGTTTTTTTTTTAGTTTTAAAATTTTGGAAATTTTGGAAATTTTGGTCGTTTTTTATCTGATAACCATATCATGACGAAAAAATCAACTTTTTTCTGTTTTGAACCTTCTTTAAGATCATGTCAAACAATGTATTCAAGAAAAAAGCATCGTTCACATTCCCATTCTAGCTCCTATTTACCAAATTCCCACTCTCGTCATCACAAACGTCGTTCTTGTTCTTATTCATGTACTCGCCATTCTTGTTCACATACTCATCGTTCACGTTCACGTTCATGTACCCGCTATTCTTGTTCACATACTCATCGTTCACGTTCATGTACCCACTATTCTAGTTCATATACCCACCATTCTCTTACTTATCATTCTCGCTCACCTTCTCGTGAAAGATTACATAATCGTGATCGTGATGGATCAAGAGATGTTGAAGGTACGTTTTTTATTATAAGGCCATGCAAATTTAATTAATTGGTTCTCATAACCCAGTCGGCTTTTTTTTAAAATTTTATATATAATGATTTATAAAAATTTTATAAAATTTTTATAAATCGTTATATATAAAATTTTAAAAAAAAGCCAACTGGGTTATGAGAACTAATTAATTAAATTTGCATGGCCTTGTAATAAGAGTGATAAGGATATCGGCTGCACAATATTAATACAAATCTAATTATATGACAATTTTAGAAAGAAGAGCATTGAGAGAAGGTAAGCAATAATGACTTTATTATTTATAATACGAATATTAGCTAATAATTATTGCTAATATTTTAGAAAATTCGGCTCTAAGATCCCAAGTTGCCTTGTTTGAAGAAAGTCTAGGACGTCTTGAAAGGGCCCAATCATCTGACACCTTGCCTGAACATCTTGAAAGGGCCCAATCATCTGACACCTTGCCCGAAGAAATACTAGGATATCTTGAAAGGACCCAATCATCTACTTAGCAGACTTACTGGACGAAATAAATATCAACGAAGATGATATTAATAAAAATAGTAAAAATGGAAATAATAGCAAAAGTCGTAAAGATAAGGGAAGAGAAAATTCATTCTCACCTGGCAAGTCATACGATCCAACCCAGACAAGGTTTAAGCATGGGCAATTAGTGCTAATAGATGCTGAGTATAAGAAAGCATTTAGGATCTTTTTTTTTTTTTTTTTTTTTTTTTTTTTTTTAATAATATTAATATTGAATTACATAATATACTGTATATATATTTTAATATACATTTTATTTTATTAATACAGAAAGAAATGTTTCGGGCAGCCAAACAATTGGCACATAATAGTTTCTACCTGTCAGTAAACGAGAATAAAAGCTGGCTCCAGCAGAGAGACTTTGTGGAAATTACCATCCTTCCTGCCCTTAAGAAACGTATTAATAAAAGCCTCGAATATCTGAATGAAGAAGTAGTTCGAGTACTCAAGACTAACTATAAAAGCCATGCATCGACTATAAAAATTAAGTCAGATGCTGACAAATGGAAAGTGAATAAAAGTCGTGCCAATAAGAATTCGCGCATGCAGGATGTATGTATTTTTTTTTTATAGAATATATTCGTATCGACATATATATATATATATCGATATATTATTGTTTTTTTTTTTAATACGTATATGTATACAGTATATATTATATATATATATATATTGATATATATATATATACTGTATATTTTTATATATATTATATATATATATATATATATATTATATATATATATATATTATATATATATATATATTTTATATATATATTTTTTATACATATATATATATTTTTTTTTTTAGAAAAAAAAGCAGAGGATTAATGAGCTTCAACATTTAATTCGCATCAAAGACTCTAGTATTGAGAAATACTGGCCAAGTTCAGTTCGTAAGAATGAATGGAAAGATGAACTTGCTGAAGTAGTAGTCAAAACGGCATATTATTCTGACGAAATATCTGAAACAGATATAGAGCTTGCAAAGTATGAAAGATCTATTAAAAAACGATATAACGATAATAATATCGATAATAATCATGTTGTTAAGGTGCTGAATCCACCATGAGATCCGAAAAGGTAAGTTGATTATAGTTGTTAGGCGAAAATACGTATTAACATGTGAATTTACATGTATTAGCATTACATAGTTGCACCTAACAACTATATATTTTTTTAATTTTAATATATTTCTTCACTATACTCGTATCAGACTAATTTTTTTAAAACAGTGTAAGAAAATTTTACATCAGACTGAGGAAATAGCGTTAACAAATCAATCAAATAAAATTGTAAGGTATTGACATTATAATAATGACTAGATGGATCTATCAAAACCTCTACTCGATGCCCCCTTTTGGACTATTTTCTCATCTTATGATCCTAATAAACGCAACAAATCTAAGAATAAAGAACCAAGACCCAACAATAATATTTTTGTTAACAATTCCGAATCTTATTATGATTTTGAGTTCGATAACAATCCTAGGACAATTAATGTGTCCAATAATAGCAAAAATTCTGGGTCTAACAATGGCAACATCAGCAACAATGGCAACAACAGCAACAACAGCAACAACAGCAACAATGACAATAACGGCAACATCAGCAAAAACAGCAATAATGACAACAACAGCAACATCAGTAACAATGGCAACAACAAAACAAATCTAACAAAAACAATTTATCTCAAGAAAATACTGAAAAGGAAAACTCTCAAAAACAACAAGA